TCTAGTTTTTAGTCGAACTCCTGATCCCAGTCGTTAGGTCCCTTAACAATTATTGCACTCAGCAGGCATGAGGAAAGACCAAAAAAAGGATTTTTCTTGAATAGGCCAGCCTCAGAATACAAAAGAAATCCAATACTACAGACAAAGACAATTCCCAAATACTAATCTTGATGCTCTCTAATGTACTCAAAGTACACTTGAGTGAGATTGTTGGAATCCCTATTGGCTGCAATGATGGGGAGATTAGTTGTTGTATGCAGGAGGGGCCTTTGTGCAGAGGCCGTGATGTTGAAGGCCCACTGATGTTCTCATTCAAGGTGGCAAAGGGTGAGACAAAGGGTGTGGGAGACAATGAGGGCAAGGGCAAGGATGGACAGGAGGGTGGTGAGGAAGAAGCCCAGAAGAGCTAGGAGAAGGAGCTGGGGGTGCTTGTTGACGATGGTGAGGGTGACAGTGGAAAGGGGGGAGAGTTGGTTCACCACTGAGTAGGTCAGTAAAGGGTGTGGGGGTAAGTTCAGCAGGGGACATTACTTGTACTCCTGCTGGCCACTCAGGGGTTAGGTTGACGGTAGGGGTTGTGGGTTGGCAAGTGAGGATGACCTCGACTTTGTAAGCCTCTTTGAAGTAGAGGAGGGTGAGGGTGAGAACAAGGCAGAGGATGGCAAGGAGGAACCAGGTAACAATGAGGAGAGCAGTGAGGATGGTAGTGGATGCAATTGGGTAGACTGAGAGAGAATAGTTCTTATAAGGGGTTGTCCCTTGTTTGGCTGTAGGAAATCTGCCAAAGCGTCTTTGGCATGTGATAGTTCGGATTTTGGTAACCATGAGTCATCCAAGGCCAGGTATCCTTTCCATTGAACCCAGTATAGTGTTCGCTTGCCAACAGTCTTCAAGTCAATGATATGCTCAATTTCAAACTCCTCCTGGTTCTTGATGAGTTCTGGTGGTGATCAGAGGTAGTTCTTTCCATGCATTGTTGTTTCTGAACAAGGATAGAGTAATCCTGCATGGAACATGGGATGAATCTTCCATTTAGGCAGCAATTTCAGGCAGTATACTACCAATGTCAGCTTCTGATCGATGGTGAAGGGACCGTAGCATTTTGGACCAAGCTTCACCTTTGAGTGGAGTCCTTTGAGGTTAGTGTCTTCCAGCCATACCTTTTGTCTGGGCGCATATTCAACAAACTTGTCCTTATTATGTTTCCTGACTGTTTCCTCTGCTAGTCAGATACTGGATTGGATTTCCGTGCAAAGGTGTGCCAGCTGGGTAAGTCTAGAGGCAATGTCCAGAGCATCAGTTGTTCCCACAGTGGGAAGATTATGCCGAGGCTGGTACCCCATAACTGCCTGGAAGAGAGACATCCTGATCATATCATGATATCTGTTGTTGTGTGCAAATTCTGCCAGTGGCAGGTGGTGCATCCAGTCTGTTGCTTGGTGATTGCAAAAAATCTGAAGGTACAATTCCAGGTCTTGGTTGACATGTTCTGACTGCCCATCAGTTTGAGGGTGAAAAGTGCTAGAGATGTTTTGTTTGATGCCTAGTTTGGTGCATAACTCCCTGAACATTTGTGATGCAAACTGTGGTCTCCTGTCAGATATAGCTTTGACAGGTAGTCCAAATTATCAGAAGACATGGTTCTGATACAGGGTAGCTGTTTTGGATGCTGTGACTGTCTTGTTGCAGGGTATGAATACCGAGGCTTTGGTACAGTTGTGGTCTGTTGATGCGACCTCAGGAAACCTAACCCTAACTCAGGGGTGTGAAGTAAAGGGTGAGTTTCTGTTTCTTGGGGAAGCTGATGGGGGTGAGGACTTGTAGTTGTGATAGCTCGCTCAAACAGCGATGACTTCACTATATTTCTCTCAGGACGGTGTCACAAGACTGTTTTGGACTGTCCAAACACTCCGACTTCTCATAGAAGCGGAGGGAAGGTAAGAGGGGAACTAGCTTGACAACTCAAACACAAAGTGCAATTCGAGCACGGACACACAAGTCTCGTTTGAAGGTCGGGTGCAAGAACGGAACTTCAGAGTACTTAGCTATATGTGTAGGTGTGCCTCAAAGGGGGTGTACTGGTAGGGGATGAAGTTCAAAGGTCGTAGGCGTAGTTCAAAGATCACGGACATAGTTTGGAGGATCGTAGTCGTAGTTTGTAGGGAGACGCAACACTTCAAAAGAGTTTGAAGCCAGACTGAGCTCTGCTGAGTGGGGGATGTGATTCTGCGTGGGTCTTGCTACTAGGGGCCGAGTACTGCCTTACAATCATGCAAAACCGCTCTTAAATATCTCTCATCCTGCCCAAACCTCCTGAGTCACTGCCTCCACTGCCCTGACCGTGCCGAATGATCCTAATATCCTTCCTACTCCTGTCAGACACCTCCATCAGTTTTGATTCCCATCCCGCGCGCTACACCTGCTAGTCTTGGAGGCCCGACCATTGCGAGCCTTGGTGTTGCAACCCGAGCGCATCAACTTAAGGTTTACCTGATGGCCCTGTATCGTATGTCTCAATCTCCGGATGATGGGGTTTCGTCTTCGAAGTCGAGCCCCCAGAATAAAGCTGCCACTGAAAGATCCCAATCAGATCGTAGTGAGATTGCGAAGCTTTGAAGATGTCGAAGGACAGGCTTTGCTCAAAGGCGTTTTTGTGTCGAGATATTGCAGTCATCCCCGAAGGTAGAAGCTTTGAACACTTTGAATGTTGAGTTTGACTTGAGGCGCACCCATGTGCTATGCGGGCCTATCACTGTGACTACTAGACAGCTGTCAAAGCTGTTGCTCTAAGGAAGATCCATGATGAAATCCATGGCTATGGATTAGAATGGAAGGTGATGTTGTGTTGTGATAGGGACTAGATCTGGTGAATTCCTATGTGTAATGACCTTGTTTTCTTGACAGGTTGCGCAACCAGTGACGTATTCACTGATGTCATGGGCAAGGGTAGGCCACCAATAGGTTCTTTGGAGGATCTCCTGTGTTTTGTATCATCCAGGGTGTCCTGTGGTAGGGGAATTGTGGGCTTCCTGGATGAGATCTTGTCAAAGTTTGGTGTCCTTGGGTATGTAGACTCATCCTCTGAACACTAATAAGCTATCTTGAATGTCCCAATTGGGAGGGGTACACTTGTCTGTGGATGTCATGTGTTGTGATGCCAGTTGAAGACCATGATCAGTGATGCTATCCTTTGTTCTGCAGGTCAAGATGCATTGTTTGATGTCGGTATTGACAGGTTTAAGGTTCTGAATGGCTTGAATGAAGACTTCTGATGGAAGAAGGACTTCTTCCACAGGAAGGTCACCCCCCCCTTCAGACGCATCTTGATCAATTTGTGACAGAGCATCCACCTTGCCTAAATGAGTTCCTGGGACGTGACAAGGTCAATAACTGAATATGGATAGGTACAGTGCCCATCACGCTTGTCAGGGATTCAGCTTCTGGGGATCTTTGAAATAGGTCAGATTCATGTGATCTGTCAATACTTCTACTGGTTTGGCACATCCTTCAATGTAGTGTTGCCAAGCTTTGAAACACCTGATGATTACCAAGAGTTCCTGATCATAGATTTTGTATCGTTGTTCTATGGGAGAGAAGGATTGGGACAGAAAAGCACATGGGTGCCATTTCCCATCAGATTGTTTCTGAGACAGGATATGTTACAGCTTGGAGGGGGGTTTCTTTTCTTTTCCCAACTATTCGTTGTTGACCCTGTACTATGCTACTGATCCCATCACTTGATGCTTCATCACCATTAAGCGTTTCATATCTATCACCTGTACTTGTCTCCTGTCTTACTTACATCACATTTCATGTCTATCATATTTCATGTCTATCACTGAAACACCACAGTGACATCTGCCTCCTGTACATCACTGATTCAACTCAGTGTTTCAC